TGTTCAAATAGGCTGGAGACCCCTCCTCTTCAAATAGGACCCCGCTAGATACCTTTACAACTGCCCCTGTGTTCAAGTAGACGTGGAGACCCCTCCTCTTGAAGTAAGACCCCCTTCTGCATACTTTCAGTCTGGCCCCCTTTGGTGACCCCCAATATCACCCCACCAGGAGCTGCCCAGCCTGGTTGTAGAAGTCCCCTTTTTCATCCCAGCTGCCTGGAAATGAATCTCTGGGCCTCTTCAGAAGGCTGGACTGGCTCTTTCTTTTGGGGTTTTGGAGCGAAATCGCAAGGCTTTTAAGTTCCAGCCTTGGGGGGGCTGAAGGCACAAAGACCCTCCGGGCTCATCCTGGTGGACATAGTTACAGAGTCGCCCCTTTGCAGTTGTGATGAGGGAGCTGCTGGGACCTGTGCGGGAAGGCGTTTATTTATTAGTTGGTGGTTTAGTCGCAGGGGTCCAGAGGTGGAAGTAGCAGGGGTCTTAAGGGGCTTGGACACTTTTTGTACGGACTGGGACCCAATACAAAATTTATTCGAGTCTCGTTAAAATGTATTTAATTTGCACGCTGTTCGACGTGCCCACAGATAACTCTTACACCAAGAAAAAAGCTGCAAGAAACCTTAAAAATATTGGAACTTCTAACATGTAAATTGACTTAAAAGTCACAAAGATGGCAAAGCAAGGAGCAAGATACCCATTGAGTGGGGGTGTTATAACAATAAATGATTATTTCCACAGGGCCAGACAGAACTCTACATTTTAACAGGTTAACGGAGTTGGAAGGGGCCTTGTAGGTCATCTAGCCCAACCCCCCCACCCAAGCAAGAGACCCTGCACCCATTTTTGACCAAGTCAAGTGTCTCTGGTGCCTCTGCGGGATGATGGTCTTTCTAGTCTTATAGAAATGGGTCTCCAAACAAACAATATCAAAGCCAGTAATTTATATTGCGCCCCTGTTGTCTTTTGTAACATTCAAATGGTTAAAGCTGACGGGGTGTGAATATTAAGGTAGGATAACAAAATAATCTTGCTTGGGGGGGGGGGTCCTTAGCCAGATTCTTCCTGGAATTCCAGGGCCTGTCAGGGAGGCCCTGGGAGCTTGTATCACTTCAAGCGCCCAGGACAAGTACAGTTTAGCTTGACTTCCATCAGCCACTCTATCCAATTGTCTTCTGACCAAGAATTGCTCTGTATAGTTAGCTGTTGTTGCTTGTAGATTTTGAGTCCTCTAGTCGTATACTTCCCAGATTCCTCTGCCCAGGAACTCTGAAGGAAGAGTTCTTCAGATATTGAGGAAATGAAAATTGCACTTCAGATAATAAGTTACAAAATTTCTTAATAGCACAAGTGGCTATTATTGCTAGTGGTTGAGATAAGAGGATCCCCACTGTTGTGTTTCTTAGGATTCTTCTTTTGAGACTTTGTTGTTTAGATGTCTGTGTTCTCTAAAGACACATTTTTGCAAATATGTAGGCATAATATTGATGCCAGGTCCAGCATCAACAAGGATAATTTTCTTTCTGTTTTTCTCTAATGACACCTGGGAAAGTAACAGAATTGGTTGCTCATTTCTTTTTTAAGAAAAGCTGCACAAGCTGAACAGGAATTTGGGGCCTGTTTGAAATGTGATCTGGAATTTGGCCCATCTGAAGCTAACTTAGCTGCTTCTCTGACATTCCTCCCTAAACCCTGATCCGTTTCCCGGCACCTCTTCGCATTTTCTTTTAAACTGGTTTGTGCGAATGCCATTTTCAGTGGACTCCATATCTCTGACACCTCCTTGTAAATGAGAAGTGACCAGCTGCGATGGCATGCGCAGCCGGCTTAAAATAGCTTCTCCCCAATGCTCTGCGCATTCTTTGAGCTCCTTGTATGTCTGTGTATGGAGCATCTGCCAGCGCTGCGTGGTAGAATAAATACTCGGCTCCCAGATTTGGGGAGAAAGGGGCCTTTGGGGTGGTGTTCCTCACGTTCTTTTTCCTTCCAAATAATAAAGCTCTAACTTGCCTTTGAAAAGGAACGTGGAAGAAGTGGCCCATTGTTTTCTATCGGCCTTGAAAAGATGCGCAGGTTGGGTGTTTTGGCTTTCCGAAGATAAGCAGCCACCTCCGTTGGCATGGACAGATTTCCCTGTAAAAGAGACTCAAAACATTCAACGTAGAATTAGTTTTAGCCGAGCCAAGTGTGTCAGGCTGGGAAGATCTCACTAAAACAGAGACAGGGCTTTCTTCAAAGTATTTTATTTATTTCACCAATTTATAGGGCACCCGTCCTACTTTTGCAGGGACTTCGGCTATGGGCTGGTGGTGTCACAAGAACAGGGACACCTGCTAACCGGAAGTAATCCCATTCCTGACGACACGAGTAGTATCGATGCAAAGAATTGATAGTCTGGTGTCTTCTGGATAATACGGGGCTGTTTTATTGGTTTTTATGGGTTGCTGTTGTGAGTGGCCCGGAATGAAACAAACGAAAGCCTTTGTAGGGCCCGTTGGCATTTGGAATGATCTACCCCAGCCCCCCAAATCCTTTTTTTTTTTTAAAAAAAGTACTTCCATGTTTTCTTGCCTTTCCCCTACAGGCCTTGCCCTGCTGCCTGCTCCCTCTCTTTCTCCCTTTCTGATAACCCCCTCTCTCTTCCACTTTAACCCAGGCTTGCAGTTTGCTCCTAAGCCAGCTGAAAGAGATCACGGGCATCCACAATCCGCAGTCCCTCCAGGCGGCACTGAAGGTTTGTCCCCTTGGCTGGAATGGGGCCCTTAGTCTGCTCCCCGTTAAGAGGGCGTCTGCCTTGACATTAGGGCTGCTGCGGCACAGACCCTCCCTGCCACCAGAGCGTTGCCATCCACTCCGCTCCCAGCTGCTTCTCCTACTTGTTTGGGCCCTTGAAACCCGAAACGGGCAGCCCTGCTCTCCCGGAGGGCTTGTTCCCAGCCTGGACAAAGTGTGTCATTCGGACAGCTGTCCACCTTCCCTGGCCAAAGGGCAGCTCTCCTCCGCTCCGGGTCTTCCTCCTGTGACTCGCCACCAGGGTCCTCTGGGCTTGGGGGGAGGGGGTGCATGGCCTGTTCTAGTATGGGATATAAAGTCGAGTGTCCAATTTTAAATGTGCTTCTTGTTCTTCCTTAAAGATGTCCTGCTCTAGCCATTCACCAGGACAGTAAGTTTAACAACAACAACAACAACAAAATCTTCTAGAGCAAGGGTATCCAAACTTGGCAGCTTTAAGACTTGTGGATTTCAACTTCCAGAATTCCTGAGCTAACATGACTGGATGAGGAATTCTGGGAGTTGAAGTCCAAATGTCATCAAAGGGCCAACCTTCCCCATGCTGGCTCAGGAATTCTGGGAGTTGAATGATTTTGAGCCCTGTAGATTAACATAGCCCTTTCCTACCATAAATTAATCTCAGGGAATTCTCTTTCCCTTCCTCCGTGGCAACTTTAAGACTTGTGGACTTCAACTCCCAAAATTCCTGAGCTAACATGACTGGAGGAGGGATTCTGGGAGTTGAAGTCCACAAGTCTTTAAGTTGCCAAGGTTGGAGGCCCTTGCTCTAGACGAGCATCTCAGCCGTGGCAACTTCATGTATGTGCACTTCCACTTTAAGACGCGTGGGCTTCCGCTTCAGCCAGCTTTGCTGGCTGGGGAATTCTGGGAGTTTCTTAAAAGTTGCCAAATTTGCTGTCCTCTCCTGCCCTCTTCGTTTCTCCTCAGGCTGCCCATGGAAACCTAATGCAGGCGGTGGGCCTCCTCACCGAAGTCAGCAGCGACCGAGAGTCCGAGGGAGACCCCCCTCCTGCTTCCGACTCCGAGGGAAGAGAAAGACCGGCCACCCGTAAGCCCTGGCTTTCTCCTTCGTGGACTTTTCTCCTCCATCCCTCCAGCGTTTAAGAGTTTTCCCAGGAAGGCTGCATGCTGGCTCTGAAAACCTCCCCAACAAATTCCGTCCCTCTGGGACGGAGCCTTTATAAATAGAAGCAGAGACCAGCACGGGCCCTTCCTCTCCCTTGCTAAGCCTCAGCTAGCGGCCTTTGGGATAGAGCCCTTCTCAGAAATCTCCGTCATCGGGGCTAGGCTGCATTGAGTCACTTGTGTTCTTGTGGGGAGGGAAGAGAGGATGACGCTGAAGAGCCAGGCAAGCGGGTAAGATGTCAACGGAGACCCCCAAAGGGCCTGTGATGCATCCTGATCTCTGTGTGGCTCTCTGGATGAGAGGACATTGCTGTGAAGTGGGAAGCGCCCTTGGGCTTCTCTGGGTGGGGAGATGAAGCAGTTGAACTGCGCCGACAACACCTAACATGGGCTGCTCTCTCGATTCCCAGCTCCGGATGAAGCCCCCCCAAGCCCTGCCGATTTTCAGGAGCCCCTTCCTTCTGGAGGCCCAGACTTCTCAGCCGGGGAGACGGATTTTGCTGCAGCCACCAACGCGTATGTCATTGTGTTTATGCTGCATTGTCGCTGTGGGGGAAACACACGCCCCCCCCCGGCCCCTTTGTCTCCAGCAACAGCCATGCCCCACCCTGCCCCCATCCAGGTCCCTGCCGTGTTTGCATGCTCCCTGTTACGATATGTACAGAATCACCCTTGAGTAACAAGGATAGGCATATGGAAACGTTTATGAGAATAGTTATGAAGAATTAATTATTCAGCCACGCTCAGAGACACTAAACGGAGTTAAAGTTTACTTTAAGAAATAGCACAGTCCAGTAAACAGTCCAGGTCATATACGTTTAACAGTCCAAAGACTATCCAATTACAAAGTATTCTTACCGGTTGCCTTTGTCATTTACAGTAAACAGATCAAAGTATTAGCACAGCAGAGAACCTTAGATAGCAACAGAATGTCAGAGAGACAGAATGTCAAGAGAGAGAGAGAGCAAACCATGATCTCTAGCTCCCTCTTATGGCAATTCACAATACAATCAACCAATCGGATCATAGTACAAATCAATACAGTAACATTGTCTTAAAGCTACAAACATACATTGTTGGTTTATATATTGCCAACCCAACTAATTGTTGGACAGATTCCTAACATCCCCATCCCCACAGGAGAAACACGTGTCCAAATCTATTCCAATCGGGGTTTTCCATTTTCAGGAAATGTCTGGCTGACTAGCACAGTCTGCCTTCCTAGCAGCCGAGGCTTTTCTTGAGGGCCAAAGTCTGCTGAAAGTGGGATGACAATTATCCTCTTGGGCAGGGGTCTCCAACCTTGGCAAGTTTAAACTTTGCTGGCTGGGGAATTCTGGGAGTTGAGGTCCGCCAAGCTTAAACTTTCCAAGGTTGGAGACCCCTGCTCTTGGGGTGGTTCTGTAGTACCTCCTCAAAGAGCCCAAGAGATGAGTAGTGAAGAGGGCTAGTTGCTTCTAGCCCCCCAAAAAGGATTTAATTGCAGTTGCTGCTGTTTGTGTTTGTGGCAGAGCCCAGGAGCCCAGTGCAGCCGAAAACAAAAACCGCTCCAAAAGGAAACGCTGCGAAGTTTGGGGAGAGAACACAACTCAGCGGGACTGGAGGAGGGTCAGCGGGTGGCCCGTTGGGATGAAGAACATCGGGAACACCTGCTGGTTCAGTGCCGTCATACAGGTAATTTGGGGCACGGGGGCTTCTCCGCTGGCATCGGCGCTCCCTCAAACTCTTGCTCAGCCGCTTCAAGACGAGCGGGCTTCGGTTGGGTGGGGAATTTTGGGGAGCTGAGATCCCCCCCTTGCTAAAAGTGTCTGAGATCAAGCCCCGCTTCTCCAATGAAGCGCTATTTTTCTTCAGTTGATGTGAGAGCTAACGAGTTCGGGCTTCCCTGCCTGCTTTCTCTTCCTGGGCTGGGCTTTTAACTTTCCCAACGGAGCCCGTGGGAGGATGGAGAAGGCGGCCCTTACCTGTTGGCAGGTGGCTGTGGCCACCCCAAGCCTCTCCTTCGGCTGAAGTCCTCTTTGAGGAGTATTCTAGAGACTCGACATACAATCACCGGTGGAGCGGGAGGTTAATTTCATGGGTGCTGTCAGTCCCTCTTCCAGCTGCCAGAATTCCGGCACCTAGTCCTGAACTATTCCCTGCCCGGAGCCGTCCTGGACACCTGCCGCAGCCGAAGTGTAAGTGACTCCTGGGTGACGGGAGGGGAACTCATCTTCCTGAGCAGCCCTGTTGGCACAACAGGGCTGGCCAAACGCTGACAACCTGCAAGGGTGGGAGGTAGTTAAAAGATGAGAGAGGGTTTCTGATTTCTCCAGAGATGGGAAGGACTCTCCCATGTTCAGAATCTAGAACACAAAGCTGTGATTTGATGGCATGATTGATTTCCCCAGTTTTAGTTTTCTCTTGCAAGTTTGGAACCTTTTCAGTCTTTCAGAGTCTGGGCCCCTTAGGGGTTCCCCTATGTTAGAATACCGATGCTCTTAGTTTGGACTTTCCTCCCCTACAGTTTACCCATTGATTAAATGACCCCAAATAGCTAAAAACAGACAGGTGGCAACTTGATGTGTGATCATGAACTCTGACCTAGAGAGACAATGCTGGAGTTGCTGGCCGCCCCATGAAGACTTTCTCTGGAATTGTGCCCTAGTTAGTTTCGGCTTTGGATGGTTTGTAAATGGAGTCCTGGTTGTGTGAATTGTGTGCCACGCCTCACTCCAGCAAATGTAACTTCTGAATGTGAACTAAGCACACTTTGCTGATCCAGGACCCTTTCTTGACCTGTGGTTTAAATTGCTTTTTTTATTGCGCCTCTTCTTGTTTTGCAGGAAAAGAGGAACATCGCATTCATGCAGGAACTCCAATATCTCTTTGCTTTGATGCTGGGAACGCGCCGCAAATTTGTAGACCCAACAACCGCCCTCGAACTTCTCAAAGGGGCATTCAGATCCCCGGAGGAGCAACAGGTGAGGGCACCCTTGGGCTCTTTCTCCCAGATCCCGGCTGGCCCTTGGCCCAGGATCACCCTGGCAAGAGGGGGGGGTCTCTAACTCAGACCCTGCTGTACAGGAGTGTTTCTCAACCTGGCTGACTTTCAGATGGGTGGACATCAACTTTTCCCCAAATTCCCCAGCCAGCAGAGAGATTTAACGTAAAGGCAGTTCACAACTCAGAAATGTTAATAACGTAAAGTCATTTTAAAGTTAAAAATGAAAGACGTCCAAGGTTATGTAGAAACAGCAGAGGAAACCGTTTGGGGTAAATGTCTCCAGAAACTAACCTTTGCTGCTCCCTCTGTCTCCTTTTTAGCAAGATGTGAGCGAGTTCACCCACAAACTCCTGGACTGGCTGGAAGATGCTTTCCAACTGACAGTGGAGGCCGAGTGAGTCCAAAGAAGCTTTGGTGATTTATTTTTGTGAAGCTGCCCAGTTGCCAGAATTTGCCGTGAAGATGTTCTTTTTAAGACCCAACAACAACAATGCCTGTTGTTTTCCACTCTCTGGGATGGTGTGATTCTCTCTCTCTGTGCTACAGCCAGGTGTCGGGGGGCAGAGTGGGCACGTAGGCGATCCTGAATGAAGCAAAAGTGTATTTCTGACTTCCAGTAACTTGACCTCTTCTGAGCACCTGAGTTAAAGGATCATGAGATCCAATACAGTTGGCTTGTAACCAGGCGGGCTCTTAACGTTCCCCAGGGCTAAGGTTTCACCCTGGGGCTCCCTATGACCAAGCACTGTACATGGGAGGGAATCGACATGCAACATCCCGTCACCTATGGCTTGGCGTGAACGGTTGAGTGCTGGGCTGAATTCCTGACTGTAGCTGGCAGCCCTCTGCCTATAGGAAGCCCAAGCGTGAGGAGTCCCAGTCGGCTCCAGTATGAGGGCTCCTCGTCGAAATGGGGAGCCCCTTGAAGGGAGGGGCATCGGGTCCTGAGCTCCCATCTGCCACCCGAGCTTGGTGAGATCTAGATGAGGGGTCTCCAACCTCGGCCACTTTGAGCCTGGAGGACTCCCAGAATTCCCCAGCCAGCAACTTTGAGCCTGGAGGACTTCAACTCCCAGAATTCCCCAGCCAGCTGGCTGGGGAATTCTAGGAGTTGAAGTCCTCCAGGCTTAAAGTTGCCGAGGTTGGAGACCCCTGCTCTAAATGAATCCTCTAAAGGCCAAATGGGAAAAGTGCATTGCTTGGCTTCTAGACAAGTCGCCTTGGTGGTTAGTCTTACCACCCTGTTTTGTAAGAAAAATGGTGACTTTGCTTTCAGAATAGCAGAGTTGGAAGGGACCTCGGAGGTCTTCTAGTCCAGCCCGCTGCTCAGGCAGGAAAAACTATACCATTTCAGACAAATGGCTGTCCAATCTCTCCTTAAGAACTTCCAGGGTTGGAGCATTCACAACTCCTGGAGGCAAATCGTTCCACCGATTAATTGTTCTCCCTGTCAGGAAATTCCTCCTTAGTTCAAGGTTGCTTCTCTCCTGGATGAGTTTCCCTCCATTGACTCTTATCCTGCCTTCTGGTGCTTTGGAGAATAGATCGCCCCCCCTCTTCCTCATGGCAGCCCCTCAAATATTGGAATACTGCTGTTTATGTCATTCCTAGTCCTTTTCATTCGACTCTGCACCCCCAATTCACCTTCCCCTTGCTTTCTCCTTCTGCGACAGGAATTCCCAGGACAAATCGGAGAACCCCATGGTTCAGCTTTTTTATGGGACTTTCCTAACTGAAGGGGTTCACGAAGGTAAGCCGGAACACCTGAGAAGCGCCGTTTGCAGCTTCCTCTGGTTTTATTCCTACCCCACTTAGAAGGACAATCCGTTTGGGATTTGCTTTTCTTCTCCTTAAATAGCAAGAGCACTTAGACTTATATCCCGCTTCACAGTGATTTCCGGCCCTCTCTAAGCGGTTTAAGACATAGGACATAAGAATTTATTTGTCATTACACTCGCAAGCGGGTGCAACGAGATGAGGTGCTCTTCCACAAGTAAAACTGGACAACACCATTAAAAGAAAAATAAAGAAAAATAAAACTAAACACAACAAACCATACAATAATCTCTATACAATTTTAAAATGTAAAGCCTCTTGCCCCCCGACAATCTGGGTCCTCCTTTGACCCACCTCGGAAGGACGGGAGGCTGAGTCGACCTTGAGCCTGGTGGGATTTGAACTGCCAAATTGTAGGCAGCTGCTGCAGAAGTAGCTTGCAGTACTGCCCTCTAACCACTGCGCCACAGAGGGTCCTTATTGATGGGCATCTCCCGCTCCCCTCTTTAGGCAAGAGGTTTTCCAAAATCGAGACCTTTGGCCAGTACCCCCTGCAGGTCAACGGCTACAAGAACTTGCACGAATGCTTGGAAGGAGCCATGGTGGAGAAGGAGGGCGAGTCGGAGCCTTCCAAGCAGGCGGTGACCTATACGCAAGAGGTGAGTGTGGTGGCATTTACACAACCCGGAGAGAGCCAGGACAGACCTGCCAGTTACCAACTTGACAACACAGAATGCGATGTCCGAGAGCATGCTGGAGTTAAGGGAATGCTGTGGAATGACTTAACAGCATGCAGGGCGTGACCTTTATATTTGACATGTTGTGTCCAGGGTGCGAGTGTGATAAAAATATTTTTCTTTCTGTTGAAGCCTGCCCGTAGGAAACAGCCCGTGCCTCCGTATTTTCGGGGGATAAAACTACAGTTTTTGATTTAATGGTATGCTTTTCTTGTTTGTAACTTTGTCTTTGTACCTGAGTATACGTTGCTCTCTCTCTCTCACTTTTTCCCACTCTGCAAAAACCATCTATTGATTTTAACTTAATAAATCCTAAAGTAATCATGTTGTTTACATCCGCTGTACTGGAAATCTGTTCAGGACTATCCTGGTTTGCTTCCTGCGGTTCCTACGGCCAGCTGAGGAATTCTGGGAGTTGAAGTCCAGGGTTCTTTGAGTCCCCGAGGTTGAGAAAAGAAAAGAAATTCAGGATTTGCACACTTCCTACATCTGGGAGATGTTAACCCAAAACATTGTAGTTCAGTTTGTGGTCAGAAGACCGAATATATGGAAAACACTTAAAAGCACCTAAGAAACCTCAAAGGTGCTTTTCCAAAAAGCAACTGAGGAAGAAAAGGGCATTTAACTTCTCATCAGTTCTGGCTGGATTGTGGTGGGGAATGGAAGGATTAATTCTGACTGGATCCTCCTATTCCCCACCACCAACCAGCCAGCCAGAACTGATGAAGCTTCCTGGATGAGAAGGGAAACGTTTTCAAAGAAAAAAAAAACAAGGAAGTCCAGTTTTGTTTTGTTTTTAAAAGCACCTTTGAGGCAACCATGACCTGGATGACTGGGAATCTCCATAGACATCCATCTAAGAAACCCTTCCCTGTTGGGAGAATTGGACTATTCAGCTGTCACATTTGTAGCCATGGGGATCTGAGTGGCTCCAGCCACCCTGCCTTTGGCCCAGAACAAAATGTCCAGTTGGGAAACTTTTCCACTGGAGTAGTTAAAGGCGTTCGTCCCATTTCTTCTTCAGTGATACAAACAAAGAACCAGGGGAGGTGAAGCCCTTTTTTTAAAGGGCTTCTCCCAAATACGTTGGAAAGAGTCAACATTACAGCACCACCTCAGAGATCCCAGCAGAACAGACGAGCCACAAATAGCCTCCCAAGAGGAGGAGCAGTTTTGATCATGAGGTTTCGGCCCGTCTGGCAGGAAATGAGAGGAGTCTATTAAAAGCCGGAGTTCTCGACAGGAATCCTTCCAGCAGGGCTTGTGGAATTGCAGTGAACCTGTTTTCATCCCATGTTCAGTTTGAAATGGTTTTGTAAAAACGAGGAAATCACCTTCGGGGCAGGAGTTGTCTCTGGGATGTCTCTGCAGCAGGTTGCAGAAGTGCCTCTCCCCTTTCGCAACCCTCCAGAATGAATTCCACCTTTTAAAAATATGCTTGTGGGTGTGGAAAGAAAGTGGGGAATGGGAAGCACCAATTTTGCCCTTAAAATTTCCAGTCCCCTGCTCTTCCTAAAACAATAGTCTTCGCCCATCCATTTACGGCATCCGCTTTTAATTCGGTGTCTCTCATTCTCGGCCACTTTAAGATGCGTGGACTTCAACTCACACCTGCCGTGCTGGCTGGTGAATTCTGGGAGTTGATGTCTCCCGTGTCTTAAAGCGGCCAGCGTTGAGAAACAGGGCTGCAAAACCATCAGAAGTTGTCTACATCTGCTTCGTGGTGCTTAGCAAGTGATTCATGGGATGCCTTCCTGCCTCGAAATACTGATTATTCCCCCCCACCACCACCAAAATCATACAATCAGATTTGCTGAACTCAAACGGTGATTTCTCTTTTTCTGGGTATGACATGAAATGGGATCTAAGTCATTGTTTTCCCTGCTTGTATATGCAGAGCACGGTGAATGGGGAAAGGGCAGCACATAATTAGCACCCAGCCATCTTGACCTGTTGTGTGTCTTATTTCAGCGCTGGTTTACAAAGCTGCCCCCGGTCCTGACGTTTGAGCTTTCCCGGTTCGAGTTCAATCAATCCCTTGGGCAGCCAGAGAAGATTCACAACAAGCTGGAATTCCCGCCGGTCATTTACATGGATAGGTAAGGTGGGGGGGGGGGGGGGGGGGGGAAGCTTTATGGCTCGAGACTTCCAAATCTGCAAAAAAAAGCAAGGGGGGATACCGTGGGGTTGCGTTAAGTGGGATGCAGCCGTCAAAAACTCTCCCTCCTTTAGGTTTATGTACGGCAATAAAGAAATTACTCGAGCGAAAAGAGAAGAGATCGGGAAACTGAAAGACCAGATGACCATCCTGCAACAGCAGCTGGAAAAGTAGGCAGTCCTTCTCAGGCTCTGGATTTTCCCTGGCAGAAGCTCAACCAGCCGGCCTCTCTCCCCCACTTTCTTGCCTTGGGGGAAAAAAGCCCAGTTCAGCTTGTCTGCTTGTCCTTGGATACCTAGGGGTATCGGGATGAAGCTTTTTAGAGGCCTCTCCCCAGGTAGATTTATTTTAGATTCTCTGGAGAGCTGCACAAGTTTGCTCTTCAGACATGACGGCCAACCTGCCAGCTCATTCTCTGTTCTGCTGCTGTAATTCAGCCTCCAAAGGAGGCTGCCCCTTGTACCATTTGAAGAATCTGTTCAAAGAGGCCCAGGAGCAGGACAGGAAAAGGGGACTCGCACTCCAAAAATATCAGTAGCCAGCCATGGTTTAATATATGCCCCCAAGTTCAAGGGGTAAAGGAAAATAAACCTTTTATCACCGATGGGATACTTTGGGGCCGTGGTGGCACACTGATTAGAACGCAGTATTGCCCAGAGTTCGATCCTGACCGGCTCAAGGTTGACTCAGCCTCCCATCCTCCGAGGTGGGTAAAATGAGGACCCAGATTGTTGGGGGCAAGAGGCTGACTCTGTAAACTGCTCAAAGAAGGATGGAAAGCCCTGTGAAAATGATATAGAAGTCCAAGTGCTGTTGCTATTGAAAGGGAAGGCCTTGCTAAGTTGACTTAGGGAAGACTGGTGGTTTTGAGGTGGGGCTGATGCTATTTTCCTCCTCATTAGGTACCTCAGGTATGGTTCCGGCGCAGACCGCTTTCCCTTGCCGGATATGCTGCAGTCCGTTCTTGAATTTGCAAGGACCAAGCTGTCCTGCGCAGCGACCGTGACAACAGCAGAAACTCAGGCAGAAAAAGAACCCTCGGAAACGCATCCCAAGCCAAGCAGGTAAAAGCTGGCCCAAGCTTTCCATCGTGGCTGTATCCAGACCGAAACGATCAGATGATAAATTATTTTGCCCCCTAGAAATGATGCCTGTTTAGAAATTCAGAAAAAAAAAGAGAAAAATGCCCGTTGGTCAAAGCGGCACTTTTAAAGCAGTCCTCCCGATTTCCATCTTGTTGCCCTCTCTGGCTTTTGAGGAGAGCTGGCAGCCCCAGGCAAGAGCCCCAGTTCCCATCAGCTGGTTGAGCACCCCTTTCCCTCTGCCCAGGTGCCCAGGGGAGACGTCAGAAGCGCCCGCGGCTCCTCAGGAAGTCATCTCCGAAGATGAGACGAGCCTGGTCATTTCCTGCCTGCAGAAGTGGAGGGAAGAGGTTGAGCAAGACATCGAAGGTCTGTGCCCGGATAATCTCACATTTCACATTTCAAGAGTTGCTACGGAGACTTCCCCATTTGCGTACGGGCTGGTTTCCACTCCGTTTCTCCCCTGAACTAGAGAAGGTGGCAAGGTGAGATGCCATCTACCTGTCACAGTGTTAAGTCCCTTCTTTCTGTTCACGGGATGTGATCAGGAAGTCATAACTGATCCCTCTCGGAGCCTTTTGCAGTTTTCATGGTGGGACGAGGGTCTGGAGCTTCCCTGGCGAAGGACAACTCTTTGTCTGGCCAAAGAGGACATCTTCAAATTTTTGAGTCATCCAGGTCATCCACGTAGACCCAGCCATCTTTCAGGGCCGGCCTTTCCCTGAATGTGAGCATTGGCCCAGGTTGTCTCCAGGGAGGAGAATGGTTTCCACAAAATGGCCCAACATGCAACTGTGAGGGGACATTTGTGATCAATCCCAAATCTCCTCTGTGGCCTGATTGCGCAACTAGTTGAGAAGCGTCTTTAGAGCAGGGGTCTCCAACCTTGGCAACTGTAAGACTTGTGGACTTTGCTGGCTAAGGAATTCTGGGAGTTGAAGTCCACAAGCTTTAAAGTTGCCAAGGTTGGAGACCCCTGCTCTAAAGATTGGTAAAGCGACTGTTTCCTTTCCTCTAACAAAACTTGGCCGTTGCTCACTCGCTTATTGTTTTGCTTTGATGAACAGACTTGAAGACTTCCATGCTGATGCTTTCTGAGTCCATGGATCATGTCTATACTGACCCTCAGCTCTGCCAGGTAGGGTGTCTGCCATCCTTCCTGGTTGTGTGGGTGCTTCTGGCCTCCTATTGGCACCCGTTCCCCCAAAATATAAGGGAGAGATCCATGGTTGAATTAGTTAATACTTTCCATTTTTTGTTCCTCCGTGTAAAATTAGCCTGGAGGCCTCAAGACTAAATTTCTAGGATTTAATTTGGGAATACCTGGGAATTCAGACTCTACATTCTCCTATGACCTTGTTTCTGAAAATGATTCCATGTCAATCATAGCTAAAGGATAGGCACTTGTATCTGGGTTTTTTTTTGCCACGCTGCCAACTCATAAAATACTGAAATGCCAGATGGGACTTCTGAGTGTGGCAACTGCCCTGGTTTGCTCCGTGCTGCCTCTCCAAAGAGACTGCAGAGGCCGAGCATTTTAATGGAAGGGCTGGAACTTCCTCATTTTGGCTTGGAGACCTCCTGACTTCTTTCTCTAGTACAGGGCTCTCCAAACTTAGCAACTTTAAGAGTTGTGGACTTCACCGCCCAGAATTCCTCAGCCAGGGCAGGCTGAGGAATTCTGGGAACCGAAGTCCGCAAGTCTTAAAAGTTGCCAAGTTTGGAAGCCCTTAGTTTAAGTAGATCACAAAACCAGAGCTCGGGCGCGCTCTGGATTGTACAGCATTGAGCTCTTCAATCCCCGACAGGATCACCCATCAAGGCCTTGCTAGTTGCAAGCGTTCCCCCCGGCGAATGGTTTCCATTGAGTGTCAAATCGGTTGGACGTGTCACTTGTGGCTGGCTCTGGATTCTGACTGGTCTGGTGACAATGGCCGCTGCAGCCCCGCTTCCCAACGTAGAAAGCCTTGTTGTTCCCCCAGGAAAGGAATCTCCGCTAAGCCTTGATTATATGAATGGATCGTTCCTCCAGGCGCGACAGCTGAGAATTTGCCTCCTCGAATCTCCCCATGGTGGTCATGTTACTTCAACCGCTCTAAAAATAAACCCGAGAACCGACGGTGTCTGTGTTTGTGGCTGTCTTTTCCAGGTCCCTTATCACTTGCATGCTGTGTTGGTCCACGAAGGCCAGGCCAACGCCGGCCATTACTGGGCCTACATCTACAGCCTGCCTCAAAGGACCTGGCTGAAGTACAACGACATCGCCGTGACGGAGTCCTCCTGGGAGGAGCTGGAAAGGGATTCCTTTGGCGGCTTGAAAAATGCCAGCGCCTACTGCCTCATCTACGTTAGTAAGAAGCTGCTACACTTCGCAGCTGGTGAGAATCTGAACTCGGTTCTTGGGGATTCCTCTTCCGCCTTGGGGGGGGGGGGGTCAGGTGCTCTGGATCCGTTAAGATGGGCTGCTTCAGAAGAGCTTTCCTGTCCTCTGGTTGGGGATGGGCCCCGGTCTCTCCTTCTGTACCTTCGTGGGGATTTGAAATGAGCGGAGGTTAAGGAGGATCTGTCTCCCCATCCTGGTTTGATCTATCTGGGGTGGAAGTAGGTTAGTTCCAAAAGGAATCCATTTAGAAAGTCTCGGGTCAGTTGAAGAGGGCAAGGGCAAACCACATCCGAAAACATTGCCAAGATAACTAGGCAAACCTGTCCAGGCAATTGCCAGGAGTCGAGACTGACTTGAAGGCACAAATATACATAAAAGTGCATGAATCGTTGGGTCTCAAAGGCAGGAAAACTCCTCGTCTTTTTGGACCTGTTGGTGCACACAGGGCACCGCAGATCCGTTCTCAGCAACTGGGCTTTGATGCTGGAGACCATACATAACCATCCCGGCCGCGAATAGCCACTTGTGCCCAGCGCATCCTAATAAGAGGGAAAGGGCAACCAACAAGCTTAGTTCACCTGTCTTGCTTTTGTCGTCCGAGAGGCGTTCAGAGACGGGCCAACAAAGGACCCCCCGCTTGTCTTTCTTTGGTAGTTTATGATGACGGACAACCAGAGAGGGAAGTAGAACGGCTGCCTCTGGAGCTTCAACGCCACATCGAAGAAGACAACTGGAGGGCGGAACAGGAGATGGCCGAACTGGAGGAGCAGTCCTGCAAAATGGCCCAGGTGGAGCCATCCTCCGAGCCTCTGGAGTCCCAGGACCTGTCTTCAGACTCCAGCCAAGGTGAGAAAAGTTCTGCCTTCGCCTTCTGGTACCAGCAAACGGGGAGCTGAGACCGCAGGGCGGGAAATGATTGTCAGGCAAAAAAGGAAAGGGGTTGTAAAGAGGCTTGACCCTCGGTGGGCCCGTTCCGTCGGTTTGGGGTCCTCTGCGGCGGTTCCTTCGAGTCTCCTAGAGCTTCCTGCCTGCCTGGGGTTGCCGCAAGAGGAGAAGCAATGAAGGGTCCTCAAGGCCACGGAGGTGGTGGCCCCGTTTCCAGAAGAAAAAGCCCCTGAGATCAGAAGGTCTTCATCGATTCTACCTGGGTAAAACGGAGGCAGCCCAAATGTTCCTAAATTTAGGTTTTTTTCTCTCTGATTTCTCCTGAATCTTCCCTAGGCTAAATTGGGGAGGGGGACACACACTCTGTTTAAGAGCATCTTTTCCTGACGACCCCAGTCGGCCTTTAGAAGTGCCAGCTTCCTTCGGCTGCAGGTGTGGATCCTCCTGCCGTACCGTTGGGAAAGCATAAACCCTCGAAGGTTCCTCCTTTTCTCCTTCCAGAACACGCCTTCCCCTGCGAGTGTGGGCCGCATTCGCTCTCCTCCGAGCACGCCGTCCTGGCCAAGGAGCAGACTGCCCGAGCCATCGCCAAGACGGCCGACGTCTACGAGAAGGCTGGCGTCCCGGCTGCTCTTGACCAGGTGGGCGAGGGGAGGCGTGGCGGGCAGCCCCTTCCCCACCCGTCCTGCTGAGCTTCTTGCCCTCCTTGGGCCCCTGTTGCTGCTCCTCTTGCCTTCCTCTCACGCCCTTCTCCTCCTCCTCTTCCTCCTCCCTCCCCCGGTTCTGCCACAGCCCAAGGAGGCAGGTCCAGAGAAGGCCCCCTCCGAGGAAGCTCAGCCGCAGGCCGAAGAGCCCCAGGAACTGGGGCGGAGGGAGCCTCCTGCCCCACCCAGCTCTCAAGTTTCCGAAGTGGAGATCCCCAGTGTGGGGAAGATCCTAGTTAGGTCGGATGCGGACGGCTATAACGAGGAGGTACCGTCTCCGGGGAGGTGGGGGGGGGCTGCTCCCCAGGCCTGCTCCGCTCCTGATGGGGGCCCCCCTTCCCAAAGCGGGACACCCCCAGCCCCACTTCGAAACTGCCCTCTCCTTTCCCGTGGGGTCTTCCAGGTGGCTGGTCCTCCACACCCCACTGAGCCAACAGGCCGACCCAGCTGCACAAATGCGGGTCTGCCCTCCCAAGTACAGCACCCGTGGAAAGCAGGTCTCTTGAGGCGGGCCTGTTCCCCAAAAAGCCATCTGTGGGGTGCCTTGCATTGGCACACCTGGTCAAAGGCCGACTGACTCAAAAGTGAAAGTTTCCCCCCCGCTTCTCCCCAAGTCGCTGGTCCCGCTGTCCAATCCAGGGGCTGGCTGGTTGCTTGGTTACTTTCACTCCTCCCCTGGCCAGCCGCCTGCCGAAACGTCCTCGGTTCCCACGGGAAAGCTTTCTTGTTTGGGGGCTACAAAACCCCATCCAGCTATTTTCCCCTCCCCCCTCCCTCTCCCTTCTTCAGCTTGGTGGCCTCCAAGGTGGCCTCGGCCAGGTTCCCTTCGCGGTTGACACAATGTGGTTGTGCCGTACGGGGAGGCTGCGTGGCTCCTTACGCATCGCTTTGGGTTGTCTGTGAGGGTCCCTGGTGCCCTCGGAGTTTGGTTGTCTCCTGGAAGACGCATCATGACCCAACTAGGCGATGTCATCGGTCATAGAAGTCCAACCCCTCACTCCCTTGTAGCACTGACGATGTTACCTAGTTGGGCCAGGAAACGTCTGCAAGATCACAGCCAAGCTCAGAGGGCATCAAGGACCCCCCACTCCCACACACACACATTTGAACCCTGAGCTGTAGAGTCTCTTCTCTCAGTCACCTTCCAAGGATCTGGGAATGGGGGGAGCCACCCAAACAGAACCTTCCCTAAGCTGACCTTGGTTCTTTTGCCTGTGGGGTGACGGAGAGCTTGTTTCAATGCAGCCTTTCCCCCTCCCTCCCGACTCTCTCTCTCTCTCTCTCTCTTTCTCTCTCTCTCTTTCTCTCCTCTCTTCTCTTCTCTTCTCTGTGGCAGGTGATGCTAAGCCCCGCCATGCAAGGGGTGATCCTGGCCATTGCTAAAGCTCGCCAGACCTTTGATCGCGATGGGTCTGAAGCGGGGCTAGTCAAGGTAGTACTATATACCCCTAAGCGCCTTGTTTTCTTCTCTGTCCCCCAGGGATGAGGCCTTTTCCTCTGGGAGTCAGGGGCCTGTCTCCTCCTTCCCCCTTTTTTTTGCCCTGGAATGGGGTGGAGCGCAGAAGCGGGGGGTGTCCAGGTGTCCAGGTGGATGCCAGAATCGGCAGGAGTGGGACTTTTGCCCCACCTGAGCCGTCATTTGGGGGGCTAGCGTTTTAGAGCAACAACATTGATCCAAGGCAGAAGAGGGGGGACGTAGTGTACCTGCTTGTTATCCGAGCCCACGTTCACATTTATAGAAGATTCTAACTAGGAGAGGTCCATCTTCCCAGCTGAAATGCCGGAAACCTGGAAGTCTTCCTGATTCAAAGCAGAAAGCGGGAGCTATCCAAGTCCTTTGTGGAAATCCTTTCCACACTTAGAAGAAGGGAAAAAAGGAATCTTCAAGATAAATGTCCTGCCTTGTTTATTCCTTTTGTCCCAGATCACGTACACCTTAAAGTGTCCCTTAGCCCCACTGTGTTCTACAATGGTAGGAATTCTGGGACACTTAGAATCCATCTATGCTGTACCAGCAGCCTTCTCTGGTCAACGCGGAAGAGCAATAAAATAGGAAAACGCCCCAAAATAAACAGTGAGGGTAAAAAGAGCTATGGTAGAAAGTCATCTCCGTTTAAGGGCCCCATAATCCCTTGCGGGGTGGAGTCAGGGCAACTGAATGGAGCAGAATGTTTACTGACCGGATGCCCTTCCTGTCGCCGTTGTGGAGTTTTGTTCAGCCAATAAATTCCCATTGTGCCCAGAGAGAAATACCTGCCTCTGCCTAGGATCGAACTAGACAATCTTAAATGATAATCATGACTGGAACTGATTAATATTTAGGACATGTGTTCATTCTACTATCTTAAGAGATTCCTTTGGTATCTCTGGCACCTCCAGCAGGGGCCTGTAGAGGCCCCCAAACTTGGCAACTTTAAGCCTGGTGGACTTCGGCCATTTTCCAGCCAGCAGAGCTTGAGTTGGAGTCCGCCAGTCTTAAAGTTGCCACGTTTTGGGGCGTCTCTTGTAGAGTCTTGGCATCTCAGGGTCAAAGAAATCTCCCTTCCCTTGAAATCCGCTGCAAAACAAGGGCAGACTCTGTTACCGTGGATTCATGACGAGCTGGAGTGATTGAGAGCCCCGTGTCAACCCCTAATTTCCCCAGGCGTTCCGCGAAGAATATTCCAGGCTGTACTCCTTGTCCAGAGAGACCCCAACACCCCAGAATGACCCCCGCCTTCAACACGTCTTGGTTTACTTGCTGCAAAACGACGCCCCCAAGCAGGTGGTGGAGAGGACCCTCCTGGAGCAGTTTGCAGACAGGAACCTCAGCTACGACGAGAGGTTGGTGGGAAGGAGGCGGCGAGGGACGGCCAGGAGAGGATTCGGAGCCCCTAGTTGAACTGGGGCACCCCGGAGGCTCTCCGAGCTTTGGGGGGTTGGCTTGCAGGGGCTTCCTTAGGATTCGGACGCGCACGAGAGACCAAAAGGAGAGAGCAGAGCAATAGCCCTTGGACTTATATACCGCTTCCCAGTGCTATTACTCGAAGCGGTTTACACAATCAGCGTCTTGCTCTCCAACAATCTGGGTCCTCATTTTACCCACCTGGGAAGGAGGGAAGGCTGAGCCAACCTTGAGCTGGTCAGGATCAAACTCCTGGCAGTCGGCAGAATTAACTTGCAATATTGCATTCTAACAGGGAGGGGAGGGGAGAAAGGGAAGGAAGGAAGGAAGGAAGGGCAATAGCACTTAGAGTTATATACTGCTTTATAGTGCTTTCCAGCCCCCTTTAAGCGGTTTACAGAGTCAGCCTCTTGCCCCCAACAATCTGGGTCCTCATTTTACCCACCTGCGAAGGACGGAAGGCTGAGTCAACCTTGAGCCTGGTGAGATTCGAACTGCCAAATTGCAGGCAGCCGACAGTCAGCAGAAGGAGCCTGCAATTACTGCACTCTGACCACTGCGCCACTGAGGCTCATCTTTGGGTTCCAGGTATTGGGAAGCCACCGGCCCTCCGTTTTGATGGAAGCAAACGAAATTGAAAATGTTGGACTAGATGTCACACACAAACACACACACACACACACACACGGAATTCACAGTGTTCCTTCTCTCTCTTCTGGGCAACAGGTCAATTAGCATTATGAAAGTGGCCCGAGAAAAGCTGAAAGGAATTGGCCCAGACGAGGTAGACATGGAAGAGTACAAGGTAAGAAGCCCTGACTTTCAAAACACACACACACACACACACACAGCCACGCGTAGCTTTTGTGAAAAGCAGACCAGTTCCTGATTCCCTGTCCCAGCCTGTTCTGTTGAAAAATAAACAAACTACTTTGGGGTGCTCATTACGCCCATCCACTAGCTTACATTTAGCCACAATGCGCATCTAAGATGACTAATCAACCTCTTGCTTGGCACGACTCGGGCCCTCAGCCAGGGGCCACCTGGGCAGGGCAACAGCACCAAGAAGGGAGGGACGGGGGGATGTTGGAGTGGAACATAACAACTACCAAGACTTGTATGTTCTGTTCCTGGACAGAAATGGCATGAAGACTACAGCTTGTTCCGCAAGGTGTCCATCTACCTCTTGACGGGGTTGGAGCTTTATCAGAAGAACCAGTGAGTTCACCCGCGGTGGTTTCAGGAAGGGCTCTAAAACAGGGCAAAGCTGGCTGGGGAATTCTGGGAATTGAAGTCCACCAGGCTTAAAGTGGCCACGGTGGGAGATCCCTTCTCTAAAGGCTCCGGGCCTCGAGTTGATGCTTCCACAGACACAGCGACATATCTCGAGTCGTCGACAGGTGGGCAGTATTGGGTTTGGTCTGTCCTGCCTCTGTTTTGGGCACTTCGCCAGATCATTATACAATTTTGTACAATCCAAGGAGGAACGACTCGATTTTAATAAGCAATAATAAAAGTTCTGAATCTGGGCGATTCCAAAACCACTCTGATCATCCTCAGGAGGGAACGGAGGCGGGTTGTTCGAATTCCTCCCGCGCTTTCGGAAGGGCTCCCTGAAGTTGCCCCTCTTCAGGTTTCCGCTACTCCTAACCGGATCAAAACAACGATATATTTTGGGTTATTTTTAAGCGCAGGAGGAAATCCTAAAACGTCTCCGTGGCAGTTTAAACTCCCCTTGATAAAGCCTTTTGCCTCCAGAATAAACCAAATAAACAGGATGGCCTGAAGGTGGAGCAGTTGTGGGCCGCCTGAGACTGGATATCAGAAGAAGAACAGAGTTGGAAGGGGCCTTGGAGGTCTTCTAGTCCATCCCCTCTGCCTGCTCAAGCAGGAGACCCTGTACCATTCCAGGCAGAAACAGAGGAGAAAGGAACCCCGTCAGGATCCCTGCAGGCCAGGAGAGGGTATTGGGCGGCCAGGCCAGGCCAGGTTCAGCCCCAGGTTGCAGCCCCAGGTTCCTGTCTGCCAGGGAGGGAAGCGGTGGCACACATACCAGGGGTGTGTTCCTCCATCCTACAGGATATGAGACACACACACACACACACACACACACACACACCCTTTTTTCTTGCCCTCTTAAAGATACTGCGAGGCTCTGACCTATCTGGTGTACGCCTACGAGACCAACACCGTCCTGCAGGCCAAAGGAGCCAGCCGGGGCGCGGACTCCTCTCTGATCGCTCTTTACAGAAGGAAGTGCCTCCTGGTGGGTATTCAGGGGACCCTTCCCCTCCTCCCCCCCTTTCAAACTTGTGGAATTGGAGGGAGGGGCAGAGTCTTCATTCCCCTCGCTGTCATTCGGGCTTACGCTGAAAAGGGGATGTCGCTGAATGCTCCTCATACCAGCGGTCGCCAACTGGTGGGCCGGGAACTACTGGTGGCCCATGAGAAAATTTGGGTGGTCTGCAGAGAAATGCTCCCTCCCCCAAAAGCAATTAATCCAGGCTGCGCAGGAACACAAGGCTGCACCGCCCACGTGGGCCGCCTACTCTTCGCCCGAGTGCAAACCTTACCTTGAGTAGAGGCACGCGAGCTGGAAGTGTAAGGTAAGACCAACGGTGGGGAAGGGAAATCCACCCCGGGGTGGCTTGCTGACGTTGGCGGGGAAGTCGGTCCCATATTCCAGGACTGGCCCTTTGGTCATCCTGGAGCAGCTGCTCCGGTCCGTGGAAGGCCGGTGCACCCGGGTGGAGAAGTAGCTGCTCCAGTACGACCAAAGGGCCAGTCCTGGAATATGGGACCGACTTGCCCACCAATTGTCAGTCGAAATTCATATCAGTGGTCCATGGGATTTAAAATTATGGGTTTGGTGGTCCCTGAGGTCCAAAAGGTTGGCGACCCCTGCCTTATATGGCTGTAGGGACGGTAGCCCTCGACTTATAAATAGTTTATTTAGTGACCATTCGAAGCACTGAAAAAAGTGACTTCACACTTATGTGTGAAGCATCCCCACAGTCGTGTGGCTGACAGTCGGATACTTGACAACTGGCTCCCGTGTCTGACGGCCTCCTTTTGCCAACGGCTTCCCTAGGGACAAGCAAAGTCCATGGAGAAGCCGGAGTCACGTAACAACCATGTTACTCGTTTAAGAACTGAGCTCACTCACTTAACGGGTGGCGAGCAAAGTCGTAAAATGGGACAAAAGTCACGTGATCCATTTCTCACTTAGCAACATAAATTTGGGTGTGTTGAGGGTTACCTGTATCTCTTTAAAAAAATGTAAACCACATCCAGTGCCTGCAAATGGCCACATCCACCCAGCCTGCCCCTCTTCATTTAGAAGTCGTTAAAACTTTAGAAGTTTAACTTTGGGGTAATTCTTGCGGTTATTTCCTTTTTTTTTCTCTTTTAAGCCCTCCTCCTCTTCCCCAGCTGATTCTGCAGGGGTAACAGGTTCTCTTGTCAGCTGGACTTCAACTCCCAGGATTCCCCGGTCCTCTTCAAGTGGCCGAGCTTGACAAAAACAGCTACACTAACTGGACTGGATTTCTCAGCCTTCTTGCCAGACCTTCAGAGGCACGGCTGGCTGGGGAATTCTGGGAGTTGAAGTCCCAGCCGCCTTCAAGGGGTCCAGCTCAAGAAGTTCCACTTTATAGAAAAAAAGGGTGGGCGAAGACCCAAGCTGGGTTGTTTTAAGACAGAGGTCCCCAAACTTGGCAACTTTAAGACTTGTGTGGACTTCAACTCCCAGAATTCCCCAGCCAGCTGTGCCTCTCAAGGGCGGGAAGGCTCAGTCCAGTTAGTGCAGCTGTTTTTGTCCAGCTTCACCACTTGAAGAGGACCGGGGAATCCTGGGAGTTGAAGTCCACAAGTCTTAAAAGTTGCCACGTTTGGGGACCCCTGTCTTAAAACGTCCCTTCTGAATGCTGGGACGAGCCTTTCTGAAATCCTCGCCCACCGGCTCTCCCTGGTGCTTTTCCGCAGAGGCTGAACGACGCTGCGGCCGCCCTCTTCGAAAGCCACGACGGGAAGGAAGTGGACGAAGGGGTCGGGGTCTTGAATGAGCTGGTCATCCCCTGCATGCACCTGATGATGAACAACCACGTCTCCAGGGACGACCTGGACGCCATTGAAGTCATGAGGAACCGCTGGTGCGCCTACCTGGGAAAGGACGTGGGTGGTAAGCCAGGTGTCTCTCCTGGGCACCACACCAACTTCCTTCTGCCGGCTCTGGTTGCCTCTTGGGGTTCTGTTTGTTGGTACTTGTAAAGAGGCGTCTGCATGCTCACGAAGCTCAACTTTTACTCACTGCTCTCTCTGCTCCTCCCTCTACGTTGCAGTGGTGGGGCTTTTTTTAGTCTATTTATACTTGTATTAAACTTACCAAAACGCAAGTAAAAATAAAGATAGTAGGACAATGGAGGGGGGAGAGGAAAGTGCAGTGTGTAAATAGGAAACAACAGAAAGAAAAGCATTAGCTTCCAGTTCTTTTCAGTGCGGTAGAATAAAAGTAATCAGATTTCACGTTTTTTAGTTTTGCACTTGGGATACACTAGCCGTTTCTATTGCAGCAAACTTCTCAGCAAATCAGGGTTTCCCTTTGTTTTTTTTTTTCCCCCTTGTCTCAAACACAACATCTGGCAGCTGTTTCCATGCAGCAATAAAACTTTTCTTTGATCAAAGCCGCTCATTTGGCCCTCTCTGCTAGCCCTATGGACACTGCGAAGGTGACGGGAGAATCCTCACCAGGGGCCAGTTATATCTCCTGTGGGTAGATTCAAGTCATGGACCTGGAGTTGTCTTGTGACTTTTAAGAGGAGAAGCTTGCAAACTGATGGTTACTCCAGTGCAAGCGAGCAAGTTTCGACGGCTTCCGTTGGAGGGAGGAGGGCGTGCCCGAGCTTGCTTCTTGGGGAGGGATTGCAGCAAGCATTCTCGGTGGCCTGGAGTGGTTCAAGGCGCACCTTCGTGCACCCAGGATACTTTAGCTGTGACTCCCATCTTCGTGGCGGCTGGCTGGCGGACCGGTTGCTCGACTGAGCCACCGAAAGGGCATCCCGTCCAGTTTTCTCAGGGAAACCCGAGAGAGGAAGTCCTAGATCTGGGAGGCAGGTGGCTCTGCCCAAGGGAAAGGCTTATTCTTGGGAACAAAAAAGAGCGAAAGAAAATGAGAACCTTAAGCTGCCGGGTGGTGGTTGTTGCTGTTTTTAAACGTATGTAGAAATGTAATACAGCTGCCCGATGCAATTCTGGGTAACGTACAGCCACCGCCACCAAAACAATATAACAACCCTTAAAACAACGAACCATAAAGAGAACCAAGATTGGGAGAGAGAATTAAAAAAACTACTTGAAGACTCAAACAGTCACCTCACCAGCTTCCCAGGGGATCTTCGAGGTTGGTGGCAGGGATAGGGCTGACCTCCCCTTGTGGGGGTTCCAGAGGGCAGGAGCCATGGCTGAAAAGACCCACTGTCCAGGTTGCTTTTAGTCAGGGTTCCCCAAACTTGGGCCCTTTAAGACTGGTGGACTTCAACTCCCAGAATTCTCCAGCCAGC